AGGAGATATGATAGCCATGTATAAATATGTGAGAGGAAGCCACAGGGAGGAGGGAGCAAGCTTGTTTTCTGCTTCCTTGGAGACTAGGACACGGAACAATGGCTTCAAACTACAAGAGAGGAGATTCCATCTGACCATGAGGAAGAACTTCCTGACTGTGAGAGCCGTTCAGCAGTGGAACTCTCTGGCCCGGAGTGTGGTGGAGGCTCCTTCTTTGGAAGCTTTTAAACAGAGGCTGGATGGCCATCTGTCAGGGGTGATTTGAATGCAATATTCCTGCTTCTTGGCAGGGGGTTGGACTGGGTGGCCCATGAGGTCTCTTCCAACTCTTTGATTCTATGATTCTATGATTCTAAGGGTTGTCCTTGGTTTTGTGTATCTATGCAAAGTCTGGGGATGTATTACCTGTAGACACAGAGGTCCCTTTCTCCTCTGATGCCCAACCCTCATCTTCTTGTCATGTTTTTCTTTCTCCATCCATGCATCATTGCTGGACATTTGTCATACACAAGTCAGCACTTACTTGCTCTAAGGCTTATTTACATAAAGGCAAATAATTTTAATGGTCAGTGTATTCAGAGTTGACAAGAGATCTTTTTTCTATCCTCCACCACACTTTTAATTTTGGATCATAATCACAACTTGCATTTTTGATCCTGCTTTCCTCAGTGGAATAAGCTACCTTTTGCACAAAGCCCTCTCTGATCATTAAAAATAATGACTTTGGTTGCCAAATGGTTTTAATGCTATTTCTTTTCACAATATGGCTGTGTACAGAAGACTTCAGTTACAGGAAGTGCTCCCAATAGAACAACAACCATTATTGTTCCCACTAATAAATGTCAGTATGCTTGGTTATATAAACTTTTCTTGACAGGATTTAATAACGCCAGTGGTTTACCTGCAGTATTGTAACTGCTACCCTGTACAAAAACTGGGTCTGTGTGGCCCAAGAGGTCTCCTGTGTGGCCTTATCCTCCATGTATTCAATCATGTAACTCCCTTATGAGCAATTATTGAGTAATATTCTGAACTGTGACAGCCTACCGTGAATTGACTGAACGCATTTGTGACTCGACACTTCAAACGACAACACATTTTGTGGTGAGTGGGTGGAATTCCTGGAATGGAGAAAGCCTCATTATGCAGCGTTGCTCTAATAGCAGCATTTGTGTGGGTGGCCATCTCTGTAGGCGGAGGGGAAGCCAGGAGAAGCTGGAGGAATTTCACAGCATTGAGCCAAACACACTAAGCTCCTCGGGAAAAAAAAGAAGAATGATTGCCAACAAAATCCAGAAACAATATAAGGCTGAAGGTGTTAATCTAATTGTAGACTGCTGAAAGAATATTAAAGGCAGTATTAGTGCATGGTAACCTACACAGCAGCTTTTGCACTGGCTGCGATTCAGCAAATCAGTTTAGTGACAGAACAACAATGAACCAAAACTGACAGTTGGTCTCTAAGGACCTCATCACATGGAGCTCCTTAAGCTGGAGGACAATGAGGATATCTGTGGGGCAGCATGGCAAATCCATGGGGGGGGGGGGGAGTATGTGGAGCATACTGTCAGACTGTGCCCTGCATCACCCGCTTACCATCCCACGCTAGAATCCATCTGGCCCCAGCTTCATCCTGCACTGTCCCCAGCTTAGTGAATAAGCACATGGGCACTCACCCTTGTTCTCAGGACTGTCATCTAGCATGATGCCAAGATACAGTGTGCAAAGTGCTGACACAGAGCCCTATTGGGAGTACCTCTGAGTTATGTGATGGGCTTCGGTGGTCTCTGTCCTGGCTGCATCTGGGCAGCATCCTAGGATGGGGCTTAAAGCCCATTTGATGAAGTTTGGCAGGATTAAGGAAAGCACTTCGGTTGTTTTGTGAAGAGCCTCTATGAAGTCTGAAAATGTTAGTGGATAAATCAACCCAAAATACCTGGGTCAGTTCATCTGTGGGCCAGTGTAAGCCCCATACCTTAATTCTTATGAGAAAGAGGAGAGTGACGAAAGGCAAGAGTTTAGTTCACCCCAGGAAAACCTACAAGTAGCACTGGCCTTCTTTATTCCCTCTTTCTTAGGCCACTTTTTGCCTTTTTGAAAATCTGGAAGGGGAAATGGTAGTAGCCATCAGGGACAGTTTCCCCTCACTATGGAATTATCCTCAGCTTATCTATGGGTCATAGCAAAATCCATAAATTTTGCAGCAACTAACCAGGCTATGAAGCTGCAAGGCCATTAAATGCTAATCAAGGTGGCCATTTGCAACATTCACACGTACCTCAAGCAGAGAAGAGTTCTTTCTCCCACCCTGGACATTCCACAGATATATACATTCCACTTGCCTGGTTTCCAACAGACCACTCAACTTCTGAGGATGCCTGCCATAGATGTGGGCAAAACATCAGGAGAGAATGCTTCTGGAACATGGCCATGCAGCCAGGAAAACTTACAGCAGCCCAGTGATTCTGGCCATGAAAGCCTTTGACCACACATCCATAAATTTGGTTTTAAAAAAGCCTTGACTTATACCTGAGGTTGATTTATACACAATTATGTGTGGTAAATCATCTGACTCCTTTCATGTGTTACTCCTTGTTTCATGTTAACAGGGCTTGGAAAGTTACCTTCTGAATGTAAATAACCTTCATTACTCATTGGTTAAAGTGTTGAAAATGGGTTCTACATTGTTTTCTCATTCTTCTGTTTTAAAGAGTAACATTGTGTTACTTTGTAATGTTTTGTTGTTTTTTGTTATTTTCAAAACAACAGGATAAGAAAAATCATACAAAACTGTATTGTCGAAGGTTTTCATGGCCGGAATCACTGGGTTGTTGTAGGTTTTTTTCAGGCTATATGGCCATGGTCTAGAGGCATTCTCTCCTGATGTTTCACCTGCATCTATGGCAAGCTTCCTCAGAGGTAGTGAGGTCTGTTGGAACTAGTAAAAAGGATTTATATATCTGTGGAATGACCAGGGTGGGACAAAGGACTCTTGTCTGCTGGAGCAAAACTATCCCTCAACACGACTAGGCATGCCTTTAATGGAAAACATAAAACCTTGTTAACCCCCATGACTCCAGCCCCTTTATAGCATCATTCCCACATGTTGCATTTACCACATTGTGAAATATTATTTGGTTATGTACTTCTTGGAAGCAATGTTATCTGTGACTTACTATTTTCAAACTTTGGTTTTAAAGCAAGAGAACTCACGCTTTGGAATTTTTACTTTAGTCATAAAGCAGGAGAATGCTTTTTTAATCTCCCTTTGGAAGCTCCCATATATTGTGGCAATCTTTTCCCCAGTAGATTTCCTTCTTTCTTCCTGACCTTGTCTAGGTATCTAAACTTTTGAAAGACCAAATTCCCCGTTTTCTGTTGTTATAAGAAGTGTACTTGAGCATGGTGGTAAAATATCTTGCTATGTTGTGATCTTTTTGACACCAAGTGAAGGTCTTTTTAAAAAAACTTCCCTAATCTTTTTCTTCCTCCTCTACTTTCTTCAAAAACCCCATGTTCCTTCCTTTTAAATGGTAATGTATCACTCTTGGTGTCTCTTTGGTTTCATTTCATAACTAGTGTTATTGTTGCTGTTATTGGTTTTTGTGCTATTTTTATACGTCCTAGTTTTAATATGATTTTATGAACTTCACAGAAAGCTTTGCGTGTTGGCCTATATAGAAAGGTAATAGAAAGCCAGTGTGGTATAGTGGTGATATTATTGGTCTGGGACTTGAGGTATCCAGGCTTTCTCCCCTACTTAGCCGTGCAATTCATTGGGTGCCCCAGGCCAGGCTCTCTCAGCCTGACCTACTTCATAGTACTCTCATGAAGATACATTCAGGGGGTGGGTGCGGGAATCATGTATGCTGCCTTGAGCTTATTGGAAGAAAGAATAATGAATGAATAAGGCACTCAAGTAATTACAGGCTTAGCTCAGTAAACAATAACCCTTGACAAAGAAGCTCCATTTTGCAAAGTATTTAATGCCTGCTCAACCACTTTCCTTCCTTGTCTAATGTTTGGTTGGGAGGGGCCTTTTCCCAGTACCATCAATACTGGGAAGACGGTGAAGAGAGACTGGAGAAACAGGCTTTCAGGACTGAATTGCAGCAGTCTGTCTGCAATAAACCTTTCAATATAGCTTGAGTTGGGGGGAAATGGGATTCTGTTCTAGCTTTACCTACTGTAGCTCTAGCTAGAACAGGCAAGATAGCCAGCAGCTGCCTCCAGAATCCCTTACTGGACATGTGTGAATAGCAAAAGCAGATAATCTCCTCACAGTGGGTTTTTAAAAACACAGATTTCTAAATTGGGCATTGAAAGGAATATCATAAAAAGTAGGGGCTGGATATATTTTAGAAGAAACTTCTAAATGATCTCTAGAAAGTTCAAAATATTTTTCTTTACTTATGCTTACTTACTTAGGCGATCCCTCATTGTCCAAGTATGATGGCCCTCCAAGTGTAGTGTCTTGGTGGTGGGTACATATGTGACTGTGGAGCTCTATTCTTGATCTGCATGTTCTTCCACAGTGAAGGCATCTGTTTTCAGGTGGAAGGCCATCCTGGTCAAGGTTGGCTTGATGTGCCTTCCTCTTGGCACATTTCTCCATTTCACCCTCCATTCAGGCCTCTTTAAATTCTGCAGCACTGCTGGTCACAGCAGACATCTAGTTAGAATGCTCAAGTGCCAAGGCTTCCCAGTTCATGGTGTCTATGTCACAGTTTTTCGGGTTAGCTTTAAGCCCACTTTACTTATGAAAGGCTTATTTGGCCTGATTGTTTCATTTCACATGTGAATATTGTTACTTTTGGATAAAAAGACTACTGAAACATATCAAGCTGTTGTTCATTTTTGCAATACTGGAAACCTTTCTTATTCTTTCTATGTCATTTCTCCTTCTGGTGCTACATGTTCTGTTAATGAGATAATGCCAGGGAATATATCTACTTCATTGACTGAGGCATAATGTATCCTTACCTTTCTTCTCATTTCAGAAATCCAGATAAGGGGATTCAGTTCCTGATCTCTCGAGGGTTCATCCCAGATACTCCAATCGGAGTGGCACATTTTCTGTTGCAGCGCAAGGGTCTTAGTCGACAGATGATTGGGGAGTTTTTAGGAAACAGCAAGAAACAATTCAACCGGGACGTTCTAGAGTAAGTGTTTCACTCCAATCACATGCTTTTCCACAACCGTTGTCTATCACTCCCTTTACTTTCATTGGTTATGGCTGCTGTGTTTCACTTACTTTTCCACTCCTTCCAGGTTCTCTCTTCCAAACTTTGATTGTGAGAAATAAGTTGATATAATAACTTCTTTTTACATCTGGGAAGCGCTGGGAATAATCCCACAGAAAATCATTGGAGGAGGGGAAAAAGTTGGTTTGCATAAATGAAGTAAGGAAAGGGTCTCAAAGAAAAGAGGATATAGGCTTACATGGGAGTGGGATCCACAGCACAAGGATCAAGGGGCCTGGGTTATCCTTCTGTAAAAGTCTGTGAGACATGTACTTCCAAATTAGTTAGCATCCTCAGGGAGAAAAATCCACCTACATCCTCCACCCTTTGTACCCTAATGCTACATTGATAAATGGCACAGCCATGACCAGTAGTGCCATCTGCAGTATAAGTAGGCAGACATCCTAAAGAATAAAAGCCTAGGGCAGTTGTAATTCTGAACTTCAGAGTGATGTTTGGCTGTACATTACTGGGGCAGTAAGACTGAGATGAAAAACAGCCCAGCACTTTGGCCAGTGTCCAATAACTGTGAGGATACCTGGGCAAAAACCAAATTTGAAAGAGTTGTTTAGTACTTCATTTACCTTCCTACCTTCCATCCAAAAACATTTTGAGTAGGACAATAATCACATTAATAATAGACAGCCTAAGTAAAAAGATCTCTAGTAAAAATGTGAAAGAAGGAAATTGGTGACCAATGCTAACCCTGTTGGGTTCCTTATACTGCACTGGATCTTGATATTTGTAAAGCTATGTTGGGTGTTGAAAACAGGCCTGACAGGTTTGAAAATCAGCTGTGAAAGCTCTTTGAGGTGTCTTATTAGCTTGCAACTGTCTCCTACCCTTGATAATATACAATGTTTCTCTGATCCCTGGAAAATACATGAGCTGCTTTCTATATGTTTTTGATTACAACTCCTATAATCTCTGGTATTAACCATGCTGGGTAGGAATGAGGTAGTCCAAAACATCTGGAGGTCGCCATGTAGTTTGTCCCTAATCTAGGATCTCTGGAATATAGAATGAAATTGGTTTAATGCCATTATTTCTCTACAGAAATATGGGCTCTATTTGGAAAAATAACTAATAGAGGGATCTTACAGTCTTCACCAATTATAATTTTTGAATTCTTTGGGAACAGCCTTAACAGTTGTACACAATGTTACCGTTGAACTCCAGAACAGGAATAACCCTCTGACTTTAAAACACCACACACTGAGTAGTAAAACAATCCTTTTTCTTGAAGATAAGTAAAAGCAGCAAAGTAAAAAACACTTTAAGATAATAGGTAAATCCAATTAGATAGGAAGATAAGCAGAAACAAAGTATTCCAAGGTAGGGTTCAGCAAAGTTCAAAAATAAAGTCCAGACTTCTCTATATGCTCATTAGTTCCTCCAGATGCCAAGTTGTTTTTAAGCCCCAAATCCTGGGAACTCTCTGGGAGCAATTCAGGGAGTAAACTATCATTCCTATACCCTGTAGGAACATTCTCATGGGAAACCACACTTTGAACCGATGTCTCTATGTCATTCTCTGCATTTAATATCATTGACCAGACCATCGCCATCTTGACCATCATTGACATCATTCCCCACATCTAAAGCACCTTGATCTTGAAACACAATCACAGGCTGAATTCCAACAGTTACAATATTTGCATCTATTTGCAGTAATGATTAAATTGTTTTTGTCATCAGGTCTTGTTTCTGAATCAAGACTTTTGTTGCCTCTCTGTATTACAAACAAACAAAGAGCATGCTTCTGATAATACTAACTTCGTGAAATCTTGGTTGAGTCTCTTGTCCCTTCTGCTTTTCATACGAGACTCACAACTGTCCCAGACCACTATAGTTTGCTACCAGCTGGCTGGTTAAGGAGACAGCCTTATCACGACTAGACATTTATAGCAGAAGCAGCAAAGCTTTGGCTGAGGGCCAGTTGACATGATCAAATTATCCTCTCTTCAAGTGTTCTGAAATTGAATTAAATAGACATTTGAGGAGGGGAACTGTGCAAGGCCTCTCATATCTGTCTCTAGTTTGGACGATGAACTTTTGAAAGTTGAGCCTCCTCTTTCTTTGGGAACTTTCCAGGACATGTTCTCCAAGGGCAGAGGAGACTTTTCTATCCAGAAGATAGTCTTCCATGTTTAGAGGACGATGATGCAAGCAGAAGGGCAGGGAGAGTGTATGGTTATTTATTCATTGCTACTATTCCCCAAATAAAGCTGCTGTCATAGCAAGCAAGCATGTTGGTAGAGGAAATCGTGTGTATTGTTGTTTTTACAGTCATATAATGACTTCATCATGATGTCATCCTACAGCTCATCTCACACATACTCTCTTACTACTAAATTGGGTGGCAAGACAAATTTTCATCCATGGAACAGGGGCTTTGGAGACAATCCTGAAAAATAGTTCAAAACAGGGCAACTGTTGTATACTTGCCCAACCTTTGCTTACATCTTCAGCATCTTCCTTTTCTTTTTGCAAACTACATATAGGGTCTTAGATTTAACATTATTGCAATATGAGGAAGACAAAACAGTCACCATTCTAAAAAAAAAAGACTATTGGAAGCACCTAGAATCATAGAGTTGGAAGAGACCTCATGGGCCATCTAGTCCAACCCACTGCCATACACCTGGACTAATTGGAATATTTCCACTCTCTGATTACTTTAAGAAGACACACTTTCAGAAGACTCAATAAGCTTTCCTTTGTAATATGTATATTGGAGCACAAAGAAGTCTCTAATACCAAATAAGTAATACTATGAGATGTGAATTTTGATCTTAAGAATTGACTAGGGAGTCATGGAATCTGTGAACCAAGTATTATTTATCATGTCAGGAGTGAACCAAACAGTTGTATTGTATTTAAAACACACACACACACACACACACACACACACAAAGTTTGCAAACTTGTCATTCTATTAAATGTCCTTTGACCAGTAGCTGGCCACTTGGAGTGCCTCTGGTGTTGCTATAAGAAGGTCCTCCATTGTGCATGTTGCAGGGCTCAGGTTGCATTGTAGTAGGTGGTCTGTGGTTTGCTCTTCTCCACACTCGCATGTCGTGGATTCCACTTTGTAGCCCCATTTCTTGCCTCTGCATCTCGTGGTGCCAGAGAGCAGTCTGTTCAGCACCTTCCAAGTCACCCAGTTTTCTGTGTGCCCAGGAGGGAGTCTCTCATTTGGTATCAGCCATTGGTTGAGGTTCTGGGTTTTAGCCTGCCGCTTTGGGTCTCTCACTTGCTGAGGTGTTCCAGTGAGTGGCTGTGTAGATCTTAGAAAACTATTTATTGATTTAAGTCATTGGCATGCTGGCTGATATCCAAACAGGGGATGGGGCAGAGATGTCACTGCCTTGGTTTTCTCACTATTGGTTGCTACTTCCTGGCAGATGTCAGGTGATGCAATACCAAGTGACTCAGTGTGTTCTCTTTGCTGCTCAACGAAACCTCTGTGGAATAAGAAGTGTCATCATGTAGTTTCCTTGGGCTTTGGAATTTTTCTGGGGATATGGTTTGCCACTTTCACACATGTTTCTCTCATTGTTGGTGCTCCCTCTTGAAAGATGATTTGCTGTATTTCTTCCCATTCATTCATTCATTCATTCTCACTTACTTGTTCTGGGTAGCAGATGGTAACTTGTGTGACCGTGCAGTATTTTCATTGTAAAACCATGAACTAAGTTGGTACTGCTCCCAAGTCATATTAAGCCAGTCTACAACAAGGTGGAATTTAATAAGTAGATATCTTAATTTAAAGGTTCGGGCTTAATTGCTTACAACCAGTGAATCCCCCCTTTCTATATGTTTATTTAATGCACTGTTTGCATATTGATCTGATATTGCAACTGTGGAGTAGAACAAACAACTCTTCACTCTTGTCCACAATGCCCTGCCTCATGTGCAGATGAAAACTTGTTTAAAGCTACTGACAATGCGGTCGCTGTTGCCCAGTTTAGGTTAAAAATTATTTAGCCACTTGTGCTCCTATTTTTATCAGTTTTATACTTCTGTATGCAATGCTTTTGACACAAAATAAATAAGTTGACCTGGACAAACCAAGGTCTGTAATATCTCTGATACTGTCATTTCGAAAATCATAATTTAAAGTAATTAAGACAGAAGCCAGAGCCCCTGGTGGTGCAGTGGGTTAAACCGCTGAACTGCTGAGCTTGTTGACTGAAAGGTTGTAGGTTTGAATCTGGGGAGCGGTGTGAGCTTCTGCTGTCAGCCCCAGCTTCTGCCAACCTAGCAGTTCGAAAACATGCAAATGTGAGTAAATCAATAGGTAAGGCTCCAGTGTGAAAGTAATGGCGCTTCATGCAGTCATGCCGGCCACATGACCTTGGAGGTGTCTATGGCTTGGAAATGGAGATGAGCACCACCCCCCAGACTTGGACACGACTGGACTTAATGTCAGGGGAAAACCTTTACCTTTTAAGGCAGAAGCCATTGATTTGGGAAAGAAAGAGTGTGGACTATGTGTGTGACAGTATGAGATGCAAAGGAAAAGTAATTCTTTCCCCTGGCTAGAGGAATGAAGATGACTTGGTCAATGCCTCCCTATCTCTTTCTTTCTTGCACCTTAGCATTCCAGCAAACAGAGAATGAACAGGTACAAATATGCTGAGGTTACCTTCCCTCTGCCTCAAAACCAGAACACTATTTCACCTGTCAATTGTCCTTGAAAGAAGAAGAAAGACATTCAGGCTTGGTGAGGGCAAAGTCTGGGCTTCAGACAGTTGGAAACAGGATCAAAGCAACACTCCCTTTCATCTCCATGAGCCCAGAGAGAAAGCACTATTTCTGTTTGCTTGGATCCAGGAATTGCCATTTGATTTCCTCCCCCGTTGTCTTCCTCCTCTTTTTTTCCTTCTGCTTTCACTGGGTGAGTAATCTTCAGT